ATGTGGTGCTGGGGGATTGAACTGCGGTCCCTGATGCTTTTGCTAAGCTTGTTCTAAATAGGTGCTTTAGACCACTGAGCCATCTCTCCAGCCCGGCGCTGGCGCTTCTGAGCAGGACAGACAAGCTTTTATTTAAGTCTCACTTTTATATGCTAAGCACTCACCTTCAGAAGCAAAAGTAAAACTTAATCTTGTCATCTGGGTAGAAACTAAGATTGGCACGTGCCTACAGTCCCAGAGGTTTGGGAAGCTGAGGCAGAAGCATGGTTATGGTCAAGGCCACCTGTGCAGCTCAGGCAGACCCTGCCTCAAGATAAAACTAATGAAAAGGGGGCCGGGGCTAGCCACTTCACCAGCCCACCACACGGACAGGCATGACTACAACCGGAGCCTGGCCTTAGCCCTGGGGCTGAGCGTGCTGGACAGCGCTGCAATTCCAGGGCTCTCCTCACCCACCCCAGACAGCAACTGGCAGTAGCAACATCCTGGTGTCGCCAGAGCCCCCATGTCCACCATGACAGCAGAGGTTAGCAAGAGCCCTTGGGTCGTTTCAGAATAAACAGCTGGGCGACTTTAAGAAAAACCCATGCAAGTCATCTACACGACCCCAAGACAGATGATCTGGCTGCCTCGAAGAATTAACAACACAGAGAACTCAGCAGGCAGAGTCCAAGAGAATGCGTGAGGCCTATCACGCCAATGCTGCCTCAAAATGCAGTGTCCTGCGCACAGAACCACCTGAGCTCCAACGGGCCACACTCTCTAATGGCAAATGACACTCGCCTGGATGGCTCTCCCTGTGCAGACAACACATCCAGCCTTTACACACAAGCGTTTGTCTAAAGTCAACTTTAAAACTGAACCAACGAGAACTTAGGGCATTGGAATGACCCCAAGCTAACACACAATCACCTGTATACCTGGTTTCCAGGAAACACACGAGGTCCTATGAGGTAACAGGCAGGTTTGTTAAAAGCGAGAGGGGGTGTCCTATACTGTTTGTTGAAGGAAGGAAACCATACGGCAAATATGAGCCAAAGGGAACTCTGGGTAAACTGCTCTCACCGCAGGTCATGGGGAGGGAACTGACCGACACTCACTGCAGCTCTCCAGCATTCCTCCTGGCCACCCCTCAGGAGTGAGCACGCTGAAGCAGAATTGAAAAGATGGACACCAAAGAAACTTCAAGATTCTCAAACCATGCACCACTTTTCATGCCAACTGGCACGTCTGAATAGCCCTAGTGCAGTGGAATAGTCGCCAACAACCCCTCTTGACCATCGTGTACTGCGAAAACAGCTGCTAAAGCCACCTGTGTGCCTACAGAAAAGATGCATTATGGGAACTTCTGGCAACAAACACTAGAAAGTAAAAGGCAATTCTTACATCTGATGATTTCTGAATAAGTATGTTTGCTTTAAATTCCCAACCCTCAATATCATCTAGAGTAGTTTGCAGACACTAAAGTAAGAGACAAATGCTTCCCCCTGGGGACACTGGACAAAGTGTGCAGATAGGTGTGACAGCTGCTTTGCGACTGGGGTTCTATAGGTGGGCAGTGGCCAGTAATGCCACCGAATATCCTGCAGCGCCCAGGAGGCCCCCACGCTCGCAGACAGGGCAGCGAGTCCGAACGCCCGAAGCCCAGGGGCCAACGTGCCGCCTGCACACCACACACAGCAAGTTCCCCTGTGGGACCCTAACGGCTTGTTCCCTTATGCATAACCGCTGGCAGCACTGGTGAACAGCAATGGTTTGCTTCACATCTCCAACTTTACACTGTACTAATCAGGCCACAGGAGGAGAGAGAAAACAATGAAAAGCCACTTTCACCAAAAAAGTACTTCCTAAAATAAGAAGCACAATTTGCTCAGCTGAGCATGGAAGCAGACTCCATACCTGTCCCATGCGGTGTGTGCAACACACGCTCGTGGCTTACACCACGGGCAGGGGCAAAGCAAGACGAAGCCCCAAGCATGACCTCCCAGGCACACAGCCCGGGAGGGCTGCTGTCCTCAAGCAGCCGTGTGGGCAGGGAAGCAGCTCTGTGGGCAGCGCTCTGAGCTCCCTCTACGGAGCTCCCTTCAAATTGCTCCTTCTTAGTACCTATATTTTTCACCATCTGGGCCAGGCCCGGGCTTCCTCGGGGCGGCTTCTCAGGAGCCCTCGCACCCTGGCAGGCCCAAGGCAGCCAGGACAGCTGAGTGAATGGTGCCCCACTGGCCCCAGACAGCACAATGGCCGGGACCTGGCGAGTGCCAGGGGCGTACAGTTCTCTGCTCTGCTCTGCCCACACTTCCTGATCGGGTCCCACAGTCCACGTGGCACCTTCCTCTGGGCTTCACCAGACACACCAGCAGAGCCCAGAGAAGGGTGAGAAGCCACTGTTGCTGCTGAACACCAGCCCTGGGCCCTGCTCACAAGTCGGTCTTACGGAAGAGAGGGGCATCATGGAGCAAGTATGGGAAGGAGGAGGGTAAAGGACAGCAGGGTCGGGGCGACTGACCGTAGAAAGCAACCTGGGGAGACGGGACATGACACGGAAGTGGGCGCTGCAGTGCAGACTCTGGTCCAGGGAAGAAGCTGAAAAACAAAGCCTGTCCTGGCTGGAGGCCTGAGAGTCGGAGAGGGCAGGTAAGCGGGCCAGACATGCACCCTTTTGCAAACCATGCCGCACAGTCCTTCGAGGCAAGAGTGAGAAAGACTGCTGTTGAAGCATGGTGCAGAACGGGCGGAGGAGGGCAAGCAGGAAGCAGCAGGGGCTACAGGGAGACGTGCAGAGGGGGATGTATCTTAAGTCATGAGGAACTTGAAATGCTACGGCTCTGAAGGGCAGTGGCTGCTCAGGTGGACGATACTCTTTGCGAAGCAGCATGGCCTGAAGCCAAGCACCTGCGCTTTCGCAGCACAAGTCTAACCAGGCAGCAATGGCTCCCCCATCGGCACCGAGCCACCTGTGTGCCAACAGGAGCCACACGACAATAAGCTAAAAAGGTGGTAACAATGAACAAATGCACTAAACAGTGCATCTCAAGAACAACTATGTTGACCTGATGATTTCCACTCCGGAAGCAGGGGAGAGAGGTGCAGCGTAAACACATCAGGCTCTGCACAGCCTGATGCAGGAGCCTGTGCAATGAGTTGAGGGCAAGCTTTTTATTCCCTTTTTATTCACTTCACTGCCTTGCTTGCAACTAACACGTATTTATTTATTGTTTCTTTGATTTTTTTAAGTTTAAAAAAATCATAGGAGAGAAATACAGAAGCAATAAAAAATATGGAAACTTGGACAGAAACGTAACTTTATGGCCAGCACCCAGTGAGGGCAGAGGACACGGATGCAGGACTTACCGAGCCCTTCTCGATCACGCGGTTGAGCATGACCACGCCCCTGCTCCTCTGCTCCCACACCATCTCCCAGAAGTGCCCACATGTGTTGGGCAGTGGGCCCTGCAAGCACAAACACACAGCGTGGGCTGCTGGAAGCACAGTACATGGAGCATGAGCTCACCTTGGGTGGCTGTCAGGTGGCAGTGTCCCAAGTCTTCAGCAGCCCAGGTAGAGCAGTAGTCTCCCCTTCCTAGGGGGCAGTAGCAGCAGTTCTAGGTTTCCCACACAGCGATGGTCATTTTTGCCACTTCCGCTTCCCATGTGGGCAGCTGGCTGTGGGGCTCCCTTGCGTAAAGGCAGTTGAGTCGCAGGATGCAACAAGTGGGAGCAGGCAGGTGCTGACCGGGCAGTGAGCAATCATCCTGCCACCTCAGGCAAGGCATTTCACCACTCCCTTTGGGCCTCCCTCTGCTTCCCCATCTGTCTCACTTGACTGAGTATAATACCTGTTCCTAGGGTGGTGAAAATCTAACCATATTCCTATCTGTGAAGGACTTTGTGCAGCCCCTGGACTGCAAGTGCCCAATATGATGTGAGCGACTGTTCTTACTACTAATGATGGGCCTGAAAGCCTTTGTCCTCAAACCACAGATCTAAGAGACACGGACACAAGGGTTCACTGTCACTGGGGCAGGGTGGGTGCCTGGTGAGGAGCTGACTCGTCTAACTCCAGCCCAGCAGGTATTTCCTGCATACACAGTGTGGATGCCTGCGGGGGATGTCACTGGTCGTCTCCCACCCCCTCCAGCATTCGGGGCTTGTCACCGCCTTGGGCCAGCACCATTCCTTGACTTGTTTCCATTCTCACCCCTTAGTCTTGCTCTGTCTACCTGTGCTCCTCACACTTTCCTTGATCACGGCAGCCTGCAGTATCCGCTCACTTTCTTCCTGGACTCTTTGCAAACCAACTACCTCAACCAGGCGACAGGTGCCAGCTGTGTCTGAGGAAGTGCTGTGGAGACTCAGACAGCAGTGACCACAAGCGTGGCTAACGGACAGACAGCCCCTGGCCGGCAGAGGTCACATGGCACCTTGCTGGCCACCTGCGCTGCCCATCCTCCAGCCTTGGCAAAGACCCCCAGGCCCTCCACGGCACAGCTCTCCCAGCTCTTGGTTACTCACCTGTCACCCTCTGTTCCAGCCCTGCCCAGTTTAAAATGGATCTGAAGGATTAAACCTAGCTAAGATCTGAGATGCATACCACACTTAGCTGACACTTCCTGGGGAGGGGAAGGAGGACTCCTCCAACATCACTCTCAACTCATTTACAAAATGAGAATACAGATCCATGTTATTTGCATAATGAACAACACTGAAACTAAAAAATGGGAAGGGTTTCCTTGGTTCGGTAGCTTAGAAAACATCTTGGTCATCTGGTCTAGGAGTGCTATTTTTGGGCCAGACTGCTGATTCCTTTTGAAAACCCCAGGGCCAAGGGGACACATAAGCAACCTCTCGATGTCCATGGTACCACCTCACAGAAGGGATGGCTGCCTCAGGTTCCAAGTGGCTGCCAGGGCAAGGGGACGGGGGTGGGCCAGCACTGTAAGCGTCCCTGTAATTTCTTAATGCTGTCTGATATGCGGTACCCTACCATGGGCATGCACAGGGCTTCCCGACATCACACCAGAGCTAAACAGCTAAAATCAGGAAGAAATCTGACTTCTCTAAAAGGAGAAGTTATTCGTGCCCTAACCTCTTCCCACCAGCCGGCAGCTCCTGCCTCACAAATGCCAGCTCCAGCAGCTCACCGCAAGGCCCAGAGTGCCGAGACAGTGCCCCACACGCATTCTGGCTGATGTTGTCAGCGCGGGCCAGGAGGCACCTGGGTGGATCTGGGTCACAGACAGGGAGGAAGGGGGAGGGGAAGAAGGGAGAGGAGGAGGACCACAGGGGACCCGGCCCAGCTGCGGGCCCAGGGTAGCCTTTGCTCACAAAGCTTTCTGCTCCACCAGTTTTAATTTCCCCAAATGAAACAGAATTATGATGCTTAAAGTCGCTCATAGTCTAAACCATGTATAAGAATGGTGAAAAACAAAACACTAAAGTTTAAACCAACTTACAGGTAACAAGTTACACCTGGAGAAAATTAATAAAAACCAAACTGCTTTGTCCATTTTCCCAGATACTCATGGTCATTTCGGTCTCACATCATGAAGTATTGTATAAGAGGCTTGATTATTAAACCACTTTCATGACTTTTTTTTCCCCCAGAAAAATGCCAAAGCCAATAGGAATTTTAAGTGATTTTTCATGCTTGTTCATATCCTCTAATGATGCTTATTTTTTTTTCTGCGCCAAAGAATGTGGCCCGCCATGAGGAATTCTGAGTGCTCTCTGGGCAGAGCGGCCTGGCCTGCTGCTCCCCTCCAAGACCTGCTACCGGAAGCGCTCGCCACAGACACAAATCCTCTGGGGTCGGCCGGGGCCTCCTCTAGTCACGGCTCTGCCACCCTGTCTACAGATGCCTGCGACTCAGTGCTGCTTCCTGGATGCTCTTACTCTCAGTCATTCCTCCCTCCCTCTCACTCCCTACTTTCTTTATTTTCATTTGTTTTTTCAGAGAGGGTCTTGCTGTGCAGCTCAGGCTGGTCTTGAACTCGCTATGCAGCCAGGTGGGCCTTGCACTCCCAGCAATCCTCTTGCCTCAGCTTCAGGGTCCTGGACTATAGGTGGGATTTCACGCCCACTCCACCCACTCATTTCATACTTCCCAGGAAATATAGCAGTTTTATAATCAAATTATACTTCTGTAGGAAGGTTTTTTCCTCCATCTTGTTACTTTTTGATTTGTTAAAAACCTGACTTCCTAATACCTCTAGATTTTATTTGCAGAGAGACAAAAGCATTCTAAAACTTTATAAAGTGACATTTAAAAAAACTCAGGTAATGTGTTTACCTGGGTGAGAATGTAACTCCTTTGGGCTTCTTCCATTTTTATCAAACTTGCATTGATATAGTCGTTATCCTCTTGATGTAGTTTAATCCGACTATGGTCAACTGAAAGGTGAACCAGAACTCAGGTTAATCCTTGGAGGGTCACAGTGTTTCCTCCGAGGCAAGCAGAAGAAGGAGCCCATGCCATTAAGGCAGTCACACCAGCGGAGGCCTGCTATATTAGGTGACACTGGTTATGTGTGGGGTGCCTCGTTCTTAGAAAGGTTTCTTTGGAGCTTGAAAGCCAACACTAAACAGTACCAACAATACACTACAGGAAGCCCCAGATTATGCCCTCCTTGTAAGTCCGTCCTAGGCCCTTTCTTCCTATGAGACCTATCACTCTCTCCATGTGGGGCAGACCCAGGCATCGGAGGCTCTGTTTTCTGGAGCTGAACACAAACCTCTATAGGGCAAAAGGCAGAGTGGCTTCAGTCTCTAAAAGAGAACAAAATTCACCCCAGTTCTACCCAGTTCCCCAGAAGTGGCTGGCACAATGAGCTGGCAGAGCAAACTCAACTACGGCCAGCAGTCTCGGCCCACAGAGCTCTGCACACAGCTGCGCAGCAGCCAAACCTGGAGTTCCTTTCACACTTGTTCTGTTCTTCAAAAATTTGAATATAATGAACTTAAATGACTGTAAATCTTTTCAGTGTCACCAGGAAAGACATTTAAAAGAGAATTTAAATGTTTTGGAAAAAAAATCCACACACTGAATGTATATAAATGTAACTTGGAAATTAGGTTTTAGAAATGAGTTTCATTTGAAGTTGTGCTCTAGGTATTTATTTAAAAACCCAAACCCATTTTTCCCTTTATCATTGTTTTGTCACAAAAGCAGTGGTCCCTGGCAGCCACGCTTCTCACTCTGCGGGCCAACAATGCAGGCGGGTACTTTCATTTCTGGCACAAAACAAAGGACAATGGACTTGGGTGACCTCCCAGAAATGGCCCCTCCTCCCTGAGATCAACAGGACAAGGATTAGTTACTGGGAATAAGCGGCATGGGAGTTTTTGTTCCTGGTCCAAAGAGAGGGGTTTTTGTGTGTTTTTTTTTTTTTTTTTTATTAAATAATCAACCTCTTAATTCTATAATTTTTCACCATTGAGGGTTAATAAAAATCGAAATACTAGACTGGGCGTGGTGGCGCGAGCCTATAATCCCAGCTCTTGGGAGGATGTAAAGCGGCAGATCACCACGAGTCCAATCTAGTAGTGAGACCCTGAACACCCTGTAGGCCCTTCCCTAAAATACAAAAAAAAACCCCAACAACAGCAACAAAATAACCCTGAGATACTTGGGTAATTTTTAAGGGCATCAACATGACCAAAAAAAAAAAAAAAAAAAAAAATCTTAAATCAAATTGGTGTGATTGGTACTGATTTACTGAGTGGATTCAAATGGCACTGGGGACCTAGGATGAACCACTTGTCCTCTGGGCCTTGTTGCCTCACTGGCTGAATGCAAGGTATGCAGAGGCTGTGGGAACAGCCAGTGAGCCAGGGCGAGAGCTGCTGTTGCCACCACGGAACCATAAGCCCCGCGGGCAGCAGTGACCTTTGCCCTAGAGCCATTCTCTGGTTTCCTTGCAGCATGAATTGCAACCCCCACCCCATGGCAGGAGAGAAGACAAGAAACAGTATGAAGAATAAGACTGGGATGAAAAAGTTGGGGACTGTTTCTGAGGAAGAATATTTTAAATGTTGTAAGACTGGCTTCCGAAACCATTTAGGTAAGAAATCATTAAAAATGTAGCCAAAGAATCTTGTGGTCAGTGCTGTATTTCAGTTCAGAAACGCGCAGCTACAGTGAGCAACCTGCAAATCCTGGCGCGGCGCTGTGTGAAAGGGATGCACAGTGGCTGTCCTATCCTGCGCAGATCTGCAGGTGGCAATTTCCAGCCAGGACTTCACAGCAGATTTCTGTTGCTGCTGCTGTTTCTTAAACACATGCAGTGGAAACGTAAAGTGCCTCAGCCTGCACGGGGTAAATCAGAGGCACCAGGTGCTGGGCGCAATCAAATGCCACCCGAGCACTTCAGATGTCCTGGCGGCCAGTGTTTACTGAGCACTTACTATATGTGGGCGACGTGCTTGTGCTGCCTCCTTGCACACTCCTATGAGGCGTGACGCCTGCTTTGCAGACAACCAGAGACAGAACAGTTTGTCCAAAGCCACACAATTCCAAGAGGGCACGCTGGGACATCAACTCGGGCAGGGAGCCGTGGTGGCAGCCCATGAGGCACAGCCTCTGTGCCGATCCCAGGTCCTCCAGGCTCTGAGCACATGCCACAGAGATGTTGCAGCCAAGGTCCCTGGCTCCTGTCTAGTGGCCCTGGAGGGGAGTTCCAAAGGCCTCAGTAGCCTAGTGGACATGGCAAAGTTTGGTCCTGAATGCAGTGCAGGGTTTTTTTGCTTCACACAAACTCCACCATGTTCAGCTATGTACTTTGAGGACCCTGGCGCCAGTCCTCAGAGGGCGGGAGGCTGAGGCAGCAGGCGCACCGGCAGCTAAGGACAGAGTGCGCAGAGAGGGATGTTTTTGCTGAGGGGTGGCAAGTCCCTCTGTGTGCCTGTGTGGGGCATTGCCTCGGGTCCACACAGTGCTGGGACTAAGAATGTGTGGCTGAGCCACCAAGACCAGGGACAGGTTGCACTACGCCCGCCACACTCTGCCTCAGCTGGCAGGAAAAAGACTCAGCACCAAATCGTCAAAGCTGAAAAAAAGTGCTTTGTACTTGGCTGCATTTTCCAAAAACTGAAACCTTACCTTTCCTACAATGGTAGAAAAAGGAACTATTCCTGTAAATCTCGAATGCCCACTTATAGGAACCAATCACATCATAAACCCCTTAATTGCTGCATGGTTATCTGACCCCTGGGGCGAAGGGGGTCTGGGTGGAGATGGGCTGGAGTGGAAGCAGAACAAGCCCCAGAGGTTGTGGGGATACTTACAGGGACTGACGTCTCGGTACCTGTTTCGGTTTTTGTTCTTCGGAAGCTTAGCCACTCTACAGGGAAAGTCACTGGCTTCACGTCGGATGTTCTATAAGAAAGGATAGCGAGTTCTCAGGAACCTTCCAGACATTCAACTGAACATGGGCTTTCTGCCAGGCTTAAGGGCAAAAAGAGATGTCCAAGAGGGCCAGGTGGTGTGGAAAGGGCAAGGTGACCACTCATATATGGACCAGGTCAGCGAGGGAGACAGAGTAGAAACACCCCAAACCTGGGCCAGACACAGGGGTGCAGGCCGGAGCTGGGCAACCAAGGAAGGAGGCGGACAGAGGGGTAGGGCTGTGCAGCCATCAGAAGCCAGGAACACTGAGTGGGCAGCAGGAGGCACAACAGATGGCGCGGGGGGGGGGGGGGGGGACATGGGTGGGCAGGCCAGATCCTGAAGCCTGGAACGCCAAGCCCCCGAGCTCCAACTGGAACCGTTTTCAAGGGACATTTATGCCAGCAAACCTCCAAGAGCTCTCCCAGCAGGGAAACAAATCAGCGCCCCCCACACATAGAAGCCTGTGCCAGGCGGGTCACATAGGCCTGTCTCTGCTTCCCCGAAACACCACTGCACGCCTGCAAACGATCCCACCTGAAATCTGCTCTTGCCTTCCAAGACAGCACACACCAGAGAGAAACATACTTACCGACACTAACCTGTACATCTAAAAACAGCTATGATGCTAAATTTTATGTGTTATAAATCTTACCACAACTTAAAAAAAAAAAGAAAAGAAAAAAAAAACCAAGGAGTGAAGAAACAACAGTAACAGGATTCTGGAGGCTAGAAACAGGGCTGCTCAGCAGTTTGGCAGGTCAGGTCCAACTAGCCAAGGGAAAGCCAAGGACTGCCTGACATGTGCGCCCCAGCGTCCTCTCAGGGCTCCGGAAGGAGGAGTGGGGCTCTCTGTGGGTGTGTGGAGCTGAGAAGAGCCAGATGCCACCCACCCCCAAGTGCTGAGCCAACTCACATTTCTGCAGAAATCTGGAGATGAACTCTGGAAAAAGTAAATCAGAAAAAGCTCCCAGTCCTGGCGCTAGACTGGCACAGTGCAAAGTGTAATTCTCCACCCCAACAGGGTGTGAACGACTCTGCTTGGTACACAATGACTGCGGAGACTCTAGCCGGGCCGGGTGGGCATCACCGAGCACTCAGGGCAAACACACAGCACGAAATGAAAGTACAAGGGAAGAAAACATCAAAAACTGCTTCAAGGCAATCTCCCGGACCATCAAGTGCTCATCACGTTGGCAAACACAGAGAGAACACGCTAGGTTTCTGCGATGACAAACATTCATGCACAAAGGAAAAGGTGACCAGGATGGTTTCAGGCTTTGCAAGAACTGCACTAAGGGGCTGGTGAGATGGCTCAGTGGTCTAAAGCACCTACTTAGAACAAGCTTAGCAAAGCACAGGGACCGCGGTTCAATCCCCCAGCACCACATGCCAGCCAGCCCCGCCCCCCTGGTGGGCTGAGCAGGCCACACACACACACACACACACACACACACACACACAAATAAATAAATAAAAATTTAAAAAAAAAAAAAGAACTGCACTAAGCACAGGCCAGCAAGGGAGCAATACCTTGGAGAGTCTGGAGAAAAGTGACTTTCGCCTGGAGTTCTGTCCCCTGCCCCACAGTCACCAAGTGAGAAGGGACAATGCAAACACCTCCAGTCGCGTGCAGTCTCACCAACTCTACCGTCCACACTCCCTCTCCTCAGCATAGTTTCACCTGAGTGAAGGAATAAACCTGGCAGTGGAAGAGGTCACCGGGACGAAAAGGATGCAATACAAGAGCAGAGAGGCAAAGGGAATGCCTACAGAACCTGAGGAACTTCACAGGCTCCTGCCAGCGCCACTCTGGAGGCCAGCGACAGCGATGAGCCTCCTTCCCCACACCAACTGTAAATGACAAGACCTGCAGAGCCAAGGAGGGGGGTCCAGTGGAGACGAGCAAAGGGGGTGTGGGGAGGACAGCTTGGCGCAGGGCTGCAGGCTTGGCCTGGTGGAGGCTGTCTGTGTGAGAAGGCTGAACGTGCCACACACCTGCACCTGCCCAGCCTCCAGCCAGGTGGCCAGCATGGAGGTGTGGAGAGGCCTCTGCAGGCCTGTTATCTGTGACTGCACAGAAGCAAATAAACACTGAACACCGATTTAATCAAAAAGCACAGAAGAACTTCGGGAGCGAGCAGGAGGGAGGATAAGCTGAGTGATGCTGCTGAAGCAAATGGGATCTATACCCAACTCAGTACGTGTTTAAATTAAGGAATTAAAAGATTAGTCTGGATCTACATAGGCTAGAATTAGCATCTCTTTAAGAAGATGGCTATACCAATCCAGAAGTTTGGGAAAACCGCCTGAAGTGGGTGGCCGCAAACAGCTGGACTTTGCAGGAAATTACTGGACCTCTTGAGCCATGTGGACATTCAGCTCAGATTAAAAATAGAAAAAGAGCGCCCACATTCTGCTATTCTACTTATTTATTTATAAAAGATAAAATGGCAGGCAAGAGTTTGACTCGGGCTGGTGAGATGGCTCAGTGGTCTAAAGCACCTACTTAGAACAAGCTTAGCAAAGCACAGGGACCGTGGTTCAATCCCCCAGCACCACATGCCAGCCAGCCTGCCCCCTGGTGGGCTGAGCTGGCCACACACACACACACACACACACACACACACACACACACACACAAATAAATAAATAAATTTAAAAAAAAAAGAGTTTGACTCATTAGAAATTAGCTAATAACTTAAAAGCAGATCTACAGAAACCTACTTGAGATCACACAAACTGACCCAGTGGTAAGACACTCACACAGTCATTTATGGCCAGGGGAAGCGTTCAGGGTGACGCAGAAGACACAGCACAGGAAGATAGAGGGAACACAGATCTATGTCATCAGTGTTTTCCTGCTTGGTACTGGAAGCGTCCAGCAATGGGCACAGATTCTGCCTGCACAGGGAAGCAGGCTGGTGTACCCAGGTGAAGCTGGGAGGTGAAGAAACCTTGGTCCTGTGTGCTCCAAGCAGAGAAGGCGGAGCTCCCCAGCAGAGCCGCAGCTGACTTCATCCAGCCGGAAGGGCGACTGCAGGCGGCTGCAGTTGCTTTTCTTGGGGGTGGGAGGTCACTTTGGAGATGTCATTTAATAAATATCCTGAGCAAGTAAGAGGTATTCACATAATATTAATTTTACAATAGATTTTTAAATCTGCCCTTGTAAAATGCACCACTCTTAGGTGGGTTGTCTTAAGTTTTTCTACCCAACTCTTTATTAAAATCTGCATGCTTAAAATAGCCAAGTAAGGGCCGGTCAAATAGCTCAGCAGATTAAAGCACCTGCAAGCAGGTGCAGGGGCCCAAGTTTCGATCCCCAGGCCTGCAGTGCTGGCCCCACCCCTGGGGTGCAATTGCGATTGGGTGTGGTGGTGCGCACCTGTAGTCCCAGCTCTTGGGAGGCTGTAAACAGGAGAATCACTATGATCTACACAGGGAGACCCTGTCCTAAATACAAAAAAAAAAAAAAAAAAAAAAAAGCCAAATAGCCACACTGTTTAGTTGGGAGGATCTGAGGCAATGTCTTCTACCCAGATGACTGCCAGAAGGACCAAGATGCATCTCCACCATCCCAGCAAGCTCACAAGTGCACCCCGCCCAGGTGACAAAAGCCTGCTGGCTGCCACCAAAGGCAAGCACTGACCTGCTTACTTTTCACACGCCATACACCATACTGAATCTATTTCTACAAAGCTGTTCTTACACTGATTATGTGGGGGATTCCCTCCTTTCCTACAGATAAAGTTAGTAATTTGTGTCTTCTCTCTTTTTCCTTGGCCAGTTCAGCTACAGATTAATCAGTTTTATTGCTCTTTATCAGCTGAATTTCACTTTATCTGTTTTATACTTCATAGATTTCTACTCACATCTTTATTATTTGCTCCTTTGTGGATTTCACTTGATCTTTTCTAATCTTTCAAGATAAAAGCTTAGCTATCCGACCAACCCCAGGCCCTGCGAATGGGAGAGAGCTTCTGCTCTGTCCTGCGCCCACCCGCCGCTCCAGGCCAAGGCCCACCACGTGAGAGAGGCACTTTCTCGTGTTCTCCAGACCTCCCTCCCCTCCCCTGGCCAGACCCAGCGCACCCTGCCATCTGAGTAAGAACTGCTGCTGCGCTCTTGGGAGTCCTGCAGACCCACCAAAACACAACACTGGTGAGTGTGTGGGAGAGCTTCTGGGCTCTCTCGCCCCTGCTCCTCATACCCCTCCAGACCCAGCCCAGACCTAGCAAACAGACTTGAGGTAAAACCCTGCAGCTAAAGTCCCCGCAGTGAGACACTAGGGTCAAAACCACACAGCTAATCCAGGAACAGATCATCTTACCAGAGGTGCACAGCAAGCCCACCTCCAAGGGCAACAACAGTAAGGAGCTGGGTACAGTAGCCTCACCCAAGCCAGGCACAACTGCATGAACAGAGCTTGGTATATCAGTACCTGAATTTCATTAAGTGAGAACATATTTGCACCAAAGCTCTACACCAAAGGCCACAGGTCAGTGTTAAACGAAATGATAAAGACAAGGAGCAAAACGCAATCTCAGGTCTCAAGCCCACCCCTAACAAGTGCAGAGGACACTAGCTCAGCTGAAATAAGTGAATCAATAGCGTCAGAAGTAAATAAACAACAGCAGAAAGATATAGAGGTATTCACAGCAGAATTAATTTCTGGAATTAAAAAAAAAGAAAACTCTGAATTTATAGCAGCTGAACTCAAGAATCAAATGCAGAAACATAAGTAGGAAACACAATGCCCAACCAGAACAAATGCAGTGGACACTAGCTTAGCTGAAATA